CTTGCATTCCTGATAGAAATCCCACCTGGTCATAGTAGGTGGTCTTTATGATATATTGCTTTAATCTCCTTGCTAGTATTTTATTTTATATGTTTGCATTAGTATTCATTAGAAAAAATTGACCTATACTTTTTTTCTCTGTTTTTGTTCTTTCTAATTCCATGGCACCTGTCATATCTTTCCCCTTCTCTGAATTTATATAGTCAGTTCTCTAAATCAAGCTCTCATTACTTCCACAGTTACAAATAATATCATACTTTATCTTCTTGCTTCTTCTAGTCTTGACCTCTCCAATCCATCCTCCAAAAGCTGCCAAGTTATTGTTCCTAAAGCAAAGAACTAAATAAATCCTGTTCAAGAAGTATTAAAAACGTCCTGTCACCTCAAGTTAAAATACAAACTGCTGGGGGTAGAGTGAGATTTTGATGGGTTTTGAACACTTTTCTTCTTGGAATGATTTCACCTTAGTCCTCCTCAACCACTCTATATCTCAGTCAAACTGGTTTTCCGTACATATGCCTGGAATATTCTTCTTCCTCATCTCCACTTTTTGGAATCTCTTACTCCCTTCATGGCTTAGCTTATAAATCATTTCTATATATGTCCTTTCTTGATTCTGTCAATTTGCAATACTCCACTCCTACTCTGGAAATACCTTTGTATTAATCTATCTATGCAAATATTTGTTTCTTCCAGTAAAGTTTTAATTCATTCAAGGTGGAGAATGTTTTTCTTTCAGAATTCCATGAAGTGTTTTTCACATAGAAGGCATTTAATAAATTATTGTTGGATTGGGTTGAATTAGTATAATTCCTTTCTATAGTAATTAACTAGAGGGAATAATGAGTGATGAAGACTAATAATGTTAATAGTTTTAGGTTGCCTATTTCCCTTAAATATATTCGCATCAATATTATTGCAAAGGACTACTTGTATTTGATGCACTCGTCTTAAAAAATGTATGTATGTATTTATGTATGTATGTATGTATGTATGTATGTATACATGTATAGGATTGGAATCCCATAAGAGTGGAAACATGTCTTTTTCCAAGGCCAGAAAAAAACTTTTTTTTGTTCTATTTCTCATTACAATTTAACCTTCTTTTGTAAAAATTGAGCCAGGGATTCTATTAAATGCAATCTGCCTTTAAACTTGCTGCAAGACCTTCATTTCACATCTCTGCCTCAACAAATTCAACCATACTTTCATATATTGGGAAGCTCAGTGGCTCAGTGGATAGCTTGCTTGACCTGGAGTCAGGCAGACCTGAGTTCAAATCCAGCCACAAACAATCACTAGCTGCAAGACCATGGCCAATTCACTTAACCTCTGTGTGCCTCAGTTTCCTTATCTATGAATTGAGGATATAGTAGCAACTTCTTTCCAGGATTGTTGTGAGGATAAAATGAGATTATAATTGTAAAGTACTTAGGACACTGCCTGGCACACTAGTAAATGGTTTTTTTAATGATATCATTGTTGTTATTATTATATTTCATAACCTCATACAGTCCATCTGAGCCCAAAATGAATCATCAGAAGATTGCCTGAGACTGACACAATGTTCATTTTTCGATCCTGCAGATGTCATTGAGATGTAAAACCACAATGAATTCAGAAGGTAAGCAAGAAATTGCTTACTAAACTAAAGAAATGTGGAAATACAGCTAGGACATTCTCAACCTTAATGACTGTTTTTGAAGGGTGTTTAAATCTAGTAGGAAGGAAGTTTTCCCTCCATTCTGACCAATCAATCAATCAATAAGCATTTACCACTAACAATAATAATAGCTAATGTTAAGTAACTCCTAATATGTGTCAGGCACTGTGCTAAGCATTTTAAAAATACTGACTCATTCGATCTTCACAACAACCCTGGGAGGTAGATGCTATTATTATTACCATTTTACAATGAGGAAACAGAGGCAAATAGAAGGTAAATGACTTGCCAAAGGTCACACAGATAGGAAGTGTCTGAACTGGATTTGAATTCACGTCTTCCTGACTCCTGGCCCAGCACTTTAACCACTGTGCCACATAGACTCCCATGGTACATACTATGGGCTAAGTGCTGTAGGGTACAAAGAAAAGGCTGCTCCTGACCTCAAAGTGCTTACACTTAAGTTTATATTCTTAATTTTGAAATCTTTTCAGAAGAATCTGAGCCCCATGTTGATATAGTTTAGTAAAGCTATGAAATACCCCTATCCTTCCAAAGATTTAGAAGTAGAGGAAGTTAGTGGATTTATACCATGATTTTGCTAAGTATACTCTAATAAATATATAATAAAGTACTGAGGTTGAGTCCCTTCAGGTGTAGCTTATGTGAGGTGATGACCTTTCAACCTGTTACTCATTACCATACTCACTGTCACTGTTTGAGAACTGTGGTAATCTATGTCTATATTTGGATATCTTTATTTATTACTAAAATTGAAACATGACTCATTTATTAAACAACTAACTCTGTATCTTACCCGAGATTATTAAATATTATCAACTTAATCAACTAAAGTAACCTCTTTTACCATCTCATCTCTCTCTATGTGTCTTTCTCTGTCTCTCACTGTGTCTCTCTCATACCTAAACATGTATGCCTAATATCTTAGGCTTAAATTAACATCAAACTTATTGGTTACACAATTTATTAACAGTATAACTGACAATAATACATCAATATAAATTATTTACAGTATTTCAGTTGGGAGAGAAAATCACAGTGAACATTTCCTTTATCAATATTACTTGACTTGATTTCAATTTGGAACACAATCTCAACATTTAGCGCTCAAGTTTGCAACACAAGTTTCTGAAGAACCCTCTTTTTATTTATTCACAATATAGTGGTTAAACTCAGTTCTTTCAGAGGTTATGTTCTTTTTCTTTGTCCTCTTATAGACTCTCTACAGGAATAACTCTCCAGAATGACAGTAAAAAAACAAACAAACAAACAAACAAAAAATCCAACTTTCCAGTCTCTTTATAGACTTCTCTTACAATATTTCATCACAAGATAAGAATTAAAGTGGCTCTCTCAGGAAAGAAGTTTTCTTCATCATTCCATAGTCCCTACTTTGTCTATATTTACTAATTTGCCATCTCCCCAACTCATCTCCTATTTTATTTAAAAATTTGTTGTTTTTTTATTTTAAATTTTTTTCTCTGATTTTCAGAATTTTTAGCCTTGCATTTATTTGTTATATTTTTATGTGCTATTTTTCTAGGTTTTATTTTAGTTGCATGTCCCACTGATTTGTCTATTCTTTCTCTTTCTTGTTGACAAATATATTTAGAGATATAAATTCCCTCTACCCCACAGCCTATGACTGCTTTGGCTATAAGTTTTGTCATGTTGTCTCATTGTTGTCATTTTCCACATAAAATTATCTATTTTTCCTGTGATTTGTTCTTGGAGCCACCTATTCTTTAGACAGGATATTATGTAGTCTGCATTTAGGTTCCAATACTGTTTTCAAATGTCCTTCATTGGTTTGAATTTTTCTAGTGTTATAACCATTAAAGGCTGAGTATAACACTTCTGCTTTTCTACCTATGTTTATTACAAATAATAGCAACATTGAAGAGAAGTCTGGTAGATCATCTGAAAGCTTGGAAATTTTCAGATTCTTCTCCAGATTTAGATTTTTTTTTCCCCTTTCACTCAAAGCAGTTTTCTCTCTGCCATGAGAACTTGACTGGGAGTATAGTCAGAAACTATTACTGGTTAAGCTGAGATAGACTGACAAAAATGGGAAAATCAAAGATGGCAGTTGGCTAGATCCCTGACTTAGACTGAAGCAATTGTTCCCATTATTTTGATGAGAATAATAACTGCTATGGTCTTCTCCTGACTGATGTTAGTTCAGACTACAGGGAGCTATGTAACACTAACTCTTGGTCTTCAACCCTTATGCACCCCTTGTATAACTGAATTTTACTGCTCTTCATTCTTTGAATCTCTATTTCTCAAATGGTTTTCAAATGATTGATCCAGTCAACCTAACCATATAGTAGCCTCATACCATTTTACTAATTCTTTTTGATTTGAAGGATTAATCTTAGGCTTTGGGTGTCCTCAGCTGGCACATGAATTTGGCTGATATTGAAAATACACACACACACACACACACACACACACACACACACACACACACTAGGTTTCAGTTTTGGCTTTCAATTGGTTCAGTAAATAGAATACCAGCCTGGAGTCAAGAAGACCTGATTTCAAATCCAACCTCAGACAGTTACTGGCTATGTGACACTCAACAAATCACTTAACTGCTCTCTGCCTCAGTTTTCCCAATATTAAGTGAGAATAATTATAGCATCTACCTTACAGGGTTGTTTTGAGGATCAAATGAAGTATTATATGTAAAAATGCTTAGCCCAATGCCTGGCACACAGAAAGCACTATATAAATGTTAGCTATCATTATTATCATCATTATTATATTTATTATTATCCTTGCTCTGCTTAATGAGCTTTGGTTGACCTCTCTAGTCCCATATCTCTTTTTTCTTCTATTCCTTATGTCTCCTTGACTCTGAATTCTAGTTCTTTTGGTGCCATGACATCAAGAATAAATATACTAATGGGAAATTATAAAATGTTCACCTTGGTCATCTTGGCTCTATTCTTTTGACATAAGAACTCTCCTAGGTACAGTCCATCTTCTAATATGCAGTTTTCCTTTTAAAAAAAAAGTGGCTTTAGATAACATATACAAAGTCAAAGAATTGGCATGAGTCTTTCCACAGGTTATTTTCAAACAACCCTGTTTGTAAATATTTGAGTCACTTAACACTATTGTTGGAGGAATTCCTGGCCCAGGAAATCTTCCTCCTTCATATCACTGACCAAGCGTAAACTGAGATCATACATACTCGAGTGACCTTCACATCATACTTCCTCTGGTACTCAGGCAGTGAAGTAACCACAGACTCAGCTGACCAGAAGTCACCTGTTTTTACAAGATGCCAGGGGCTACCTATGCAGATCCCCAGGCTTGGATTGTAGAAGCAAGTTTTGATGTCAATGTTTAACTCAGGTCCTTGATTTCTGTGCCTTTTTTTCTTTATTATTAACTCAGGAATATTTTTCAAGTTGCCAGATTACAAGGACTCAGTGCGCAACATTCATCTTTAAATCTTCTGCCTATGGAGAGAATGAGCAAAGGTAAGAGATGCTATGTTATTGCTATTATGGAATTGTTATTTATCAGTTTAGGCTATTTGTTTTTCTCTGAAAAAATAAGCTAATGAAATATATTATAAAACATCATTCTCTGTAGGTCTCAGTTTCCTCATCCTTAAGATGAGGGGGTTGGAAATAGATGAACTCTGAATTCTCTTCCAATTCTAAATCTATGATCTTTTGGTAATCAGTTAAAATAATTAAAACAACTTCCTATTCAAATGCTTTAAGGAGGAAAAAATATATGCCATATGATTTTGTTTAATATTTGTAAAACTTGAACCCTAAAGCTGTTTCTCTTCAGTGTTTTCAGAATTTGTTACAAGGTACTAAAATTGAGATTGTGGATTAACACACACACACGCACACACACACACACACACACACACACACACACCCCATTAGGCTGTTTTACATCTATTGGAACTTACTGATGCTTCTTTCTAAAGCAGAATAATCAGATCTTATGCACACTGTGTGCTCGATTTAACACTTCAAAAAGACACATAGTCTCTTAGGAGTGGGTCTGATTCAATTTGTAACCTTTTTATGAGATAGTTTCACGTATCAGAAAATTCAGCACTTGATATAATGTCTTTCCAAACTTTGTTGAGTGAGTACTTGGGTGAATTTGATCCTAGGTACTTTGTAAAAATATTTTGGACTCACCAGAGTTTATGCTTTGCTCACTGGCTGTCATAGCTATTGAGAACCCTGAGTCATCTCTATTCGTCTTTGAGGCACCAAGGCAGGACTTTAGTGGAAGAACAATTCTGTGTGTGAGAGTTTGTGTATATATGTAGGAGAACTATTAGAATGACTCCTGAAGCTGAGGAATTATTATTATTATTCACAAAACTTTAGTTATGTAGATAGTCATCTATAGTTCTCCTTTGACCAAAGGTAGTCTTATTTAAAAAAAAATGTTGATCAAATCATGTGAAATAGCCCTAAAATAGAGTCAATCTTAAATTACATTAAGAGATAAAGTACCCCATCCAGAATGAGGGAACTGCCTGCTCTGTACTCTGCCTTGATGATACCACATTTTGGGTATTGTGTTCAATTCTGAGCACCACACTTTAAAAAACATATTGGCATACTCTTGTGAGTACTTGGAGGAGAATAAGAAGAATAACAACCATGACAAGTGGGAATCAATTGAAGCAACTTGGAATGTTTAACTTGGATGAGACCAACTTGGGGTGGGGAGTGAGAGCTATCTTCAAATATTTGTGGAAGAGGGATCAGTCTTATTTTGAATGGCCAAGAGGGCAGAGCTAGGAGCAGCTGAATGAGTGTAGCTGAAAAGACGTATTTTAAGACTTGACTTAAAAACAAACCTCTTAAACAGAACAATCCCAAAGTGGAATTGGTTGTCTCACACAGCAGGGCTTCCCCCTTGGTAGAGATAGTCAAGCAAAGATTGGATGATTATTTATTGTAGGGAATATTACAGGTGTAATTCTTGGTCAGATATGCTTGGAAATGAAATGATTTCTGAGTTAGCATCCAACTGCAGGATTCTGTGCTCTATAGAGCATCTTCCCTGACATTAAGAAATTTATAATATGGAGAGATGATCCAATTTTATTACATTCACTTCAATTTAATTCATTTCACAAAACATGATAGGATATATACATGAAGCATGCATGAACAATACTGGTTAGCATATAATAATAACTAGGTATGTGCCTTTTTTGCAATGCTTCATCATTATTTCTTCCCAAACATAAGGAAAGAGCAAAGGAAATGTACTTCAAGGTGCCCTCCCGCCTGAACAATGCCCAGGCCCACATTTCTCTGACTAATTGGTAACATGTAGAAATAAAACAAGTGGCATAATTCAAAGGACTAGATTTACTCTGATCACAGATATCGCCAACAGACAGGGAGCCATAGAGTAAAAATAGCTTGCTCTGTAATAAACAAAATTAAAAGGCTTTCTCCAAATGTATTCTTTCTTGGTTATTATGTTATCTCTTCTCTTACCAATTTGTAAGTAGCATATATTTCCATCAGTCCCAGCATGTTTGCCTGGCCACTTGGGGGAAAATATGATAATATGAGTCACAAGCAAACAGAATTTCTAAGATTCCTCTTGAAGTCAAAGTAAACCAAATTATGTTGTTTTCCTGTTAAGGTCTTCTAACCAGAAGAGACCAGCTACTAAAAAAAATGTTGCTCTTTGCAAACTGCTGAACTGGAGGATTTCTAATGGATGAATGATTACACTAAGTTTTTTGGGGGTTTTTTTCTGGCTAAGTCAATGCTGAGAGGTATACAGGGTACTTTTTAACTGCTAGTCCTCAGGCCACATGTGACCTGTGCTTTCTAAGGTGGTTTTATGTTGCATTAAATACAATGGGAGACTACTCTTATAGCTGCTCTTCAGTGAAGAATAAAAGGCCAAATAGAAAAGCAATTTATTTTGTCTTGGCAGGGAAGCTTCTCATTTTGTATTCATAACTCCATTAATGTAGCTACTTACTTTCCTTTTGTCTTGGTATCTACAACAGTTAATAGAGATGACGCTCCATGGTTGAAGATGCTTAAATAAAGATTTAGGTTCCATAAACAAGTTAGCACTGCATTTTTTTCCACATGTCTGAAATTATATGAAATGACTTCATCTTTAAAATATCTCATAATAAAATAAGGCTCTTCTTTCTCCAAACTGAATATTAGTCCTTTCTTAGGCTAATTACCATTTTTTTTTAAATTTAAACTTTCTTTTTCATCATAGGCAACAAGTGTGAATATTTCAGTATACAAAGGAAGGAAAAGATTTTATATGAAACTGAGAACCTATATTATATATAGTTTTTTAAAGTATATATTAACTGTCCTGCTTGACTGTCTCCATCTGAACTTTCTTGTCCACTTTTCTTTAAAAAAAAAAAAGGTGTTTCATTCACGGCAAATTTTGATTTCTTTCACTTCCCTCCCCCACTTTTTTGCATTACTATCACTACTTATTAACTCCACTCTGTTTCACCCAACTTCATGGAAGTTCTTCCTTCTAACAAGCATCATCAAATAAAACAGATTCATACAGTGACTATCTCTGAAAACTTGTAGTCTGTCTCTTCTGAGTTGTGGTAAGTCTGCTCCATTATCAGTCTTCTGAAATTATGATGATCAAAGTTTTTAAAGCTTTCATATTTTACTTTCAATATTGTCTTTTCCATTAATGTAGTTATTGTAAAACTCTCTATGATTTCCTGAATCCCTCCCTTTTGCAATATGGTTCAGCAACAATCCATTAGGTTCATATAACAATTTCTCATCTATTCCGTAATTGATGAGCACCCATTTCATTGTCAGTTCTTTGCTATAACAAAAAGAGCTGAAACAAATATGTTTGGTATATTTGAGTCTTTTCCCTCTGTCTATGACCTTTTTCTTTTTGGTGAGGCAATCAAGATTAAGTGACTTGCTCAGGGTCACACAGCTAGTAAGTGTAAAGTTTCTGAGACTGGATTTTAACTCAGGTCCTCCTGATTCTGAGGCCAGAGCTCTATCCACTCTGCTACCTAGCTGCCCTGTCACTGACCTTTTTGATATATGGACTTGATACTAATATTACTGGTCAGAAGATATAATGACTTTTTGAAAATATAGTTCTAAATATCTTTCCAGAATGAGTAGACTAATTTAGTTCCACCAAGAATGCATTAGTGGGTCTGTCATCCTAAAACCTTAACTTAAAAAGGCCAAGGTCTCCCACTATACCCATAGTCATCTCCAGTCATCCTGATCTATATCTTTCCACTGGACCCAGAAGGCCCCAGAGGAGAGAGAGTGAGGCTAGTAATTTCATATAGCTTTGCCTCACTTAAATCCATTTCATTTGCAAGTTATGACATCACCTACCCAATGTCATGGTCCTCTTCAAGAAAAAAAGACAAATAACAAAACAAGTCCCTCCAAAAATTGCTATCTTTAGCAATGAGTTAGAACTTTAAGTTATTTTAATGTGTGTTTCTTTTATTTTTCGGTTTGGGGTGTATTTTTTCTTATTATAGGTATCTTACATTTCTTCTTTTGAAAACTTGCTTTTCATATTTATTTACCATTTATCCATTGGGAGATATACTCTTGTTCTTACATATTTGGATCAATTTCCTATATATTCTAGATATTAGACTTTTATTACAGAATTTTGCTGCAGGCATTTTTCTTCTTGTTATAACTTCATTGATTTTGTTTGTGCAAGTTTTCCAATTTTATGTATTCAAAATTGGTCATTTTACCTTTTATTATCATCTCTAACCCTTATTTAACTAAGGATTTTCTTCCTATCCACGATTGTAAGAAACATAACTTCTTCTCCTACAATTTGTTTAAGATATGACCTATTATATTTGGGTCCTATATGTATTTGGAGCTTATTGTGGTATATGGTGAGGGATGTTGGTCTAAACATAATTTCTTCCAGGTTATTTTCCATTTTCCCTGGTTATTTACATAATAACATTAATAATAATGATTGTTATGACAAATTATAATTAAGATATATTATATATAGATATATAGATATATATATATATCTATATATCTATATATATCTATATCTATATCTATCTATCTATCTATCTATCTATATATATATATATATATATATATTATATATATATATATATATAGCCTTCAAGGTTTGGAAGTGAATTATGTATGTTATTTCATTAGTCTTGGTTGGTGCTTTGGTTTTATCAGACACTATGCTAGAGATTGCTTCTTGACCTTCCTGGTATTTGCTTAATTTGTTTTGCTATTGAAATACTGTATTTTTAAATCCAGATAAATAGTTTTGGTTGCATAGTTTGTGATCTAGTACTTCTGAGCCCCTTAATTTCTACTTTTTTTTTTCATTATTTCCCTGGAGATTCTTGATCTTTTGTTCTTCATGATGAATTTGTTATTATTTTGTCTAGTTCTATAAAGTAATTCCTTGGTAGTGATGTTAATATAATACT